AGAGTGGCTGCCTTTCCAGCAGCTCCTATATTTTGTTGTTCTACTTCTTCCTTTCATAACTTTGCTGCTGTGAATTGGGAATTTCTCCATTGCGAGACAAATAAAGGTCTTCTTATCTTATCTTATCTTTTGGTAGATTTAGCAGTGGGGGCAATGTGCAACATGCTTCTGAATAGCACAGCTTGGTGGACATGTTGAGCAATTGACACTTATGTGCTGTCAGGATCCTACAATATAAACAATCCCTCCTTCCATTTTCACATCTCCTTATTCTCACGAGGGTCGCAGGTGTGCTGGAGCCTATCCCAGCTGTCTTTGGGCAATACGCGGGATACAACCTGAACTGGTTAGCAACCAATTTTGGGGCACAGATAGACAAACACCCATTCGCACTCACAATCACACCTAAGGACTTTTCAGAGTTCAATCAGCCTGCCATGCATATTTTTGGACTTTGGGAGGAAACTGGAGTACCCAGAGAAACCCATTGCAGGCACGGGGAGGACATGCAAACCATGCTGCCCCAACACAATATAAATCAGCGAAATACATACTTGTCTTTCAGGTTGGCTTCTCAGTGGGTAGATGGTAAAATGGATATAAAGGTAGAACTCCAGCTTTTGGGCCTCAGTATCAGTTTTAACGAGATGAGAAGGAATATTCTCTGTCCACAACTCAAAAAATACCTTGAAGTCCCCTTCATTGAAAGAACTAAGGAGGTCTTTCTGCACACAGAGATGGGGTTGGAAGGGAAATCATTAAGACGTCTGAAATAAACAATATAAATGGCGATACACAGTAGCACTTGACCCATCTTAAAACAAAACTGTTTAACTTGTCATTTTACAAACTCTTCAAACCAATTTAAATGGCTGAATTTTACATTTTACCTGGACGATGTGAGTCTTAACGTCTCTCAGAGCATTTCCTTGAGGCTTGGACACAAGTTTTCCTTTATTCTTGCACTCCTTGTCAAAACTGTTAACTGTGGTATCAAACTGTTCAACCTTAAGGTACTGCGGTCGAAAAAAAACAAGCAATACAGGTCAATGAATGCTATATTTTGATACAAGGGACACGTTGATTTATTTAATCGGATTGACAGATTTATTCATACCTCCTTGATCATCCCAAGAAGATTGGCTTCAGTGGCTAAAATGTCCCCCATTTTGTCTTCCTCCCTGAAACTCATGTGAGTATCCAGAACTTTTTAACCCTTACATGAAAAGCAGCTTTTTGCAGTTCTTGGAAAAGAAATGCTTCTATTTTTCTACTTAAGCATTGGTTGATTCCAACGTGTTCAGTACGTCCTGTAAAACGCACCACAAGTTCTACAATACCGCTACCGGAAAATCATAATTTGAAAAATAAAAGCAGTGATTGAATTAAAGAGTTGAAGGCTGCACTACGCAAACAAAGATCACACCCCATTGTATTTGGGTTTTAATTCATTTCAAGTAGGTGTGTGTTAGCATCTACTTTTTTCATTCGGCCGATGAAAATGAAGCGAACAAGTAGTAGCTATTCGATGATCTGCTAGCCGCAGCACGAACTGTTTTCCAGCACAGCGGATCTACACTTATTATTGCCTTCTCCTATTCTCACCTAAGTTAACATTATAACAGGTGCCGGTATTCTCGCTCCAAATGTCACAATCCAATATCAATTTTAATCAAAGACTACATCATTTTCTACAGTACATCGATATTAGCGCGAGATCCATTAGCTAGCAACCGTACACAGAAGAGACGCTCACCACATAGCAACCACAGTGTTGTGGCAGGAAAGTGGAAGTAAATGTCGTAAAACGATGTTGAACGTCGTCGAACTCTTTGTATTGATGTATTTTATTTTACTGTCAATGCCATAAGCACGATATACCTAGATTTCTTTTTTAAAATAAAATGTATGGAGGTGAAGATTTCATTATCTTGGATATGTTACAACATTCATTTAAAAAATAACAGTTTACAGTATAAGGTTCGCCGGAAGTAGATGATGTGTCAAAGGTTGAGCACGTTGTTTGGTTTGACCGCCACACGGTGTTTTGAATGAATGACGAGTTAACTAAACAAGAATTTAAGTGCAGACTGTAATTACACTATTTGCAAGAACCCGCAACCGAGTGCGGTTAAATGCTGGCTGTGCACAACATACATAACTTAGTACATTAACGTACAAGAGGTAAGGTTCGGGAAATGGGCGTACAGCCCGCTAACGCTATCAGATAGCATGTCACATTTTTGGGAAAATCGAAGTTTAAGTTCGCTTTGAGAACGACTTTCTCCCCCGCACGGGATGTCTAGTAGTGCCAGATTTAAAATATTTTTGACTAGCTTCGACTAACTAGCGAGTTCACACACTTTCTACTCAATGATGTCTTATCAATGGTTTTTCTTATCTTCTTATTTTATGTAATTTTCTTTTGTGAAAATGCCGGCACGGTATTATGTCATGAAGTCGGGACATCGGCGTTGTGTATGCAATTGCGCCCCAACTTTATAGTATAATTGTTGTAAACTGTTTCTGTCATATTTTTGTATTTGTGTGGGCAGAAACAGATTAAGAAATGGCTGGAATCCTGTTTGAGGATATATTCGACGTAAAGGACATCGATCCAGATGGCAAGAAGTTTGACAGAGGTGTGTAATGCCTTCTGTTCAACATTACATTATGCCCCCGAAACCACATTGGAACCGTGATTTTGCTCCCTCAAGTATTGTATTTGCACAAATAAGTAATTTCCTCACAGTTGTAATGTACTTATCTACTGTATCAAATAACTCAACAAACCCTCCTTGTGGACGCAAGTGGAATCCAACTAATGGCCCCTTTTCAAATCATTTTAGTCATTCTTTATTTTGCTTAAGATAAGATATCCTTTATTTGTCCCACACTGGGGAAAAAAAGTGAATCTAAATGACTTGTATTATTGACTATTTTCCACAGTGTCTCGTCTACATTGTGAAAGTGAATCTTTTAAGATGGACCTCATCTTGGATGTGAACATTCAAATCTATCCAGTAGATCTTGGTAAGGTCTTACATCTTTGTACTAAAGCAGTTGCACCATTTAATTGGTTTTAGTTGCCTAACAAATTCATGAATTATATCAGACCTAATGCTTGTAGTAAGGCAATTGAAAGCATGTGTGTCGTCAGTCTGTGAAGCGACACGACAAATACAGAAAAGTGCACAGTAAAAATCAGTGTTCATCTCATTAAGGTGACAAATTCAGATTGGTAATCGCCAGCACATTATATGAAGACGGAACGCCAGATGATGGGGAGTACAATCCTCAAGATGACAGACCATCTCGGTAAGTTTCAAGTACTAATGCTCATTGACACATTTGTGTTTAAATGGTATTTATTTGGATTCATGTACATAATCTTGAGGTTGAATTTCATAGTTGTAATTTTTCAGATCAGACCAATTTGATTATGTGATGTACGGGAAGGTTTATAAGATTGAGGGTGATGAGACTTCAACAGAAGCTGCAACACGCCTGTGAGTGATTTTTTGTTTTTTCTTTTCTCACGTCATCTGCCTATTCCATAATAAGTTTTAGTATTTGAATTGTAATTAGTCTGTATTCTTTAAATATGGTGAAGCATTATAAACAATCATATTTTAACACTCCATAGTACCAGTGTCAAACTGAGTCCCAGGCACCTGGTCTGGCCGACCACATCATGTTATGTGGCCTGCTTAAGCAAATTATGTGTGTCTACTTTTTCTTTATTCCTAAAAGCTGCATGAAAATTGCCAATTCACTTTACTTTTACTATCGTGTGGATGTATATTGCATGCATTTGTTTGATACCAAACCCCTTTTTATAATGAATTGAACAATTGCTTAAATGACTTTCATTCACTCTTGATTTCAACACTAGTTATCCATCAATTTGTTGTGTACTCGTAATAATAGGATGAGTCTGTTGGACATTTATATGCTGTCACATTCATAACGGCCCATTGAGGGAAAACCAAAACTACAAAAATGGAGTGGACATCCCTGCTCTATCACATTATTTTAACATCTGTTGTGTAATTATGAATGTTTTCTTCAATGGAACGTGTGAGGAAAAGAGCAAAGTTCCTTTCTTGAATGTACAATAATTTCCCGCCCTCTCCACTTTCAGCTCTGCCTATGTCTCTTACGGTGGCCTCCTCATGAGGCTGCAGGGGGACGCCAACAACCTTCATGGATTCGAGGTGGACTCCAGGGTGTACCTCCTCATGAAGAAACTGGCTTTCTAAAACTCAGCGCTCCCCTCGTCTTCTCATTGTTCCCACTGTCACATTCTACATGAAAACCGTACTGAACCGAATGCAGTGATAAATTGAGGTTACATAGGAGTACTGTTTCTATTTTATATTTACAGATGAAAAAAAAACCCTCTTTTTACAGATGAAAAAAAAACCCTCTTGAGAAATGGACTAGTAATTTAGAGAATTAGACTGTGATACTTAAGAACTGCTCCAACCCCCTTTTTCTATTAATCTGTAAATAGATTCTATACTCTGTGTGTATATCACACACACACACACACACACACACACACACAAAAGGGCTCTTTTTTTTTTAGACACTGTACATGTGAATCAATTTTGTGGTTTCAGAATTATGGAACAGTAATGTTTGCAAAAAAGCATGCTGTGGTTTTGGGTTTATAAAATTGCAATTTTTGATGGTGTCTTCATTATTTTAGGTACACTGTAGTAAAACCGCAAAACAGTGGCAAGAAGAAGTGGATGAGGGTTTTGGAATTACCTGGATGTCTGCATAAATTGATTATAAAATATGATCTGATCGTCATCTAAGTCAAAACAGCCACCTAGTCTTCTTAAACTAATACCACACAGACAGATGTTTTGTTTGCGTAAGGAGGAGGGGGCATTCATGTACAGGTAAATATTCAGAGCGCAGGGTGGAAAAAGTATGCTAGATGCTCAATTTATTAGACCACCTCCCAAGTTAAAGATTTTTCTTTTTCCGTAATAGTTAAAACACCAGTATGTAGAAGCTCTTCAACCAAAGTTATATTTTTAATGCTAAATATAACCGTAAATATTCACTGAAAAGCATTTTTCCTTTATTAAAATGTCAGTTATTGATTTGTTTTCCAGAAGAGAAAAAAAAACTAGATTGTGGTTTAATTTTACGGGTGATCATTTTACAACTTATTGGAGAAACCTAGTGAACCGGCTCAAGTGTGGGTAGACAGGTGAATTTTTTTTTTTTTTTTAGTAAACCGTCAAGATCTTACTAGAATTGAAAGAGTCTGCATTAAAGCTAGATTTGTTAGAGCTAGGGTTCATGCTAAGTTTACCTTTCTGAATGTACTTCTGAACTAGTTGATCATCCTGTAGTTTAATTTTAGCATGGGTTTGCTGGGGCTGCTTAACACATTTCCTAGCATGTTATAGTTCCTGACCACACAATTAACACACACAACAAAGCTACTGCAGCAAATTCAAACACTTTGCCCTGAACAGAATAGAAATAAAATAGAAAAGTCTGTTTGTCATTGCACAATGCACATTAACGTTGCAGATTCTACTGCATTAAAAATAACTATTTTCTTGAGATAAAATCAATGATCCATGTGTATTTAGCAACCACTCTCATCTTAAATAGTGTCACTTGAGCATTTAAAATGTTTTTGGCTTGTTGTGCTAATTTGAGTATCAGAAATTTAGAACATTTGTTCCCAAATTGTCAGAGGACCATTTATACCTCGGCATTCTGGAGCCTGTTACTCTGAGAATAGTGGACACTCAATCGTCAAAATTTAATTAAGGGTAGAACTGAAAGAGGGAGGGTGTTGTATGGAATTTCAGCACAATGTCACATTGGTAATGGATGTCACAGGATGGTGACGCCATGAGGAGCATTGCAAAAGACTCAAGACATGACAGCACAGACAAAACCTTGCATACTTTGCACATTTAAATGCGATGGCGGTCTTACTCCTATGGTCGACTCTAAAATGTTCCTATCTCCCATTTTTAAATTTAAGCACGCTTTTAACTGTCAAAGAAAAATTAAGACATAAATATATTTGACTTCAATTGGGTGTATTTTCACAGTTAGTTTCCTAAATGAAAATTAAGTTCTCACAACTTCGTGTGAGAATATCAGATTCGATTTTAATGTAGCTGACGACAGTGTTTCAGTACAGTATATGCACCTTTTGGTGATTTGGGGAGTGGTGATGGTGCTGTGCAATCGGTTATTTGGCTATTTGGACTTAACAGTGATCGAGTAATTTTTAAAAGTCACGGGTCATTGAGGTTTGGAAAGTTTGTTTGTTTGTTTTTTCCTACATGAAATTGGTTTTAGCTCTATGACGAAATGTTTCCCCGTATTTCGATGTTTGGAATTCCACAAATGATGATCAGTAAACAACCGTGTTGACTTTGCACAACTTTAAATTCTGGTAAATCAAACACAACAACTGGGAGAGGGACGATTTTCATGTTGGGAAACCACACATGACGTTTGAAAGTTTTGTTTAAAACTAGTTTTTAGAGGCACACCTTAAACTGTCTGCTAGGTGAATCCGAGTTTGTGATTGGTCGAGATGAAATAAGATACCCGGAAGTTAAGATTCCAGGATTAAAATGCGCAGGAATGGGTTGGCTGCTTGTGCAATCTTTTTTCTCGTAAATGTGCTGTCAGTTCTACTGGCCGAACCCTTGAATACAATCAGGCACACACTTGGCAGCTAATAGGAGAAGTAGG